TGTTTGTCTGTAGGGTTTTTAGTTTGCTTTCTTTTTTGTTTCTCTTACTTTTTTCAGATAGGGTAACCCACTGTTGACCCCCACGCTAGGAGAGGACACAATGACATTCTCGATTCTCTTCTTGACCAAGGCCAACTGCCGACATAAGAGAATTACCTGATCTTCATTTTTGTGCCAGCATGAACATTTTTTGGTTATCTCAGGTTTTCTTTATCATATGTGACAAAGGATCTAAATCATACTCACTTAGGGAAGGCAGAAAAGTAGGAAGAAATGGCACATTTATTGTACAAATTGCAACTCAAATTTGAGCTCCAGGGAAACAGTTTAGCAGTCAAAGAAGATAATTTTAAATCCAGATAAAATGATTAATTCCAACTACTCTTGCTTTTCACAACTGCTCGTATATGTAGAGTATAAGGATAAAATTTAATAATGTTTCTCTTAAAAAAAATAGACTTATTTACTCTTTTCTTTCTCTCACCCTATTACCCTTCTCATACAAAAATCAGAGCTTTGTCACCAATGTTAGCTTTCTCAAATTTATTCATGGGCATTTATAATAGTTTGAATGTGTATTTTTTCAGCTTGAATATAACTGCTTGTGACAGGAAAAAAAAAATTTTCTGAAAAGTGTATACCTGAATCTAAACTAATTCTGATATCAGTCTGTACAGTTGTCAGAAAATAAATACAATTAACTTTCAGGGTCCATTAAGAGTTTGCTAGGTCTTTGGGCACTCCAGTGCTACCAAATGTGATCTTTTTACCTATTTATCCAAATGTCAATGATTAGTTGGAAATTCACTCGTGATATGTGTTCATTGCACCATTTTCCTGCCCAAAACTGTTAAAGTCTAATTAAGACAATACAGATATTTGTATTAAGACAATTACTGATAAAATTTCTGTAATTCTGAAAGCCACATTTAAATGTCCCTTTTGAAATTATATGTTTTTAAATTTGTAAGTGCAAACTTATTTAAATAAAGAACTTTTCAGTTTAGTTTAACAAATACTACTTGATTATTTACATAAAATTCAATTATACAATGCAGCATTTGATTTGGACAAGTTTAATATTTTCTGGATTTGAGAAAGTATTTTTAGTAGGGCTCCATGTACACAGTTGATACTCTAAAATCAATTTTTCTTGGCTGTATCATGTAGTCAACACGTATTTCACAACTGCACAATTTGAACTCAAATAGGTTCAAAATCAATGGTAATTTTGTCACTCAAGACTAATATCAGTAGGGTCTCAAAAACCAGGTACAAATATTTTCATTTCTTCCTATTGCTGAAGACCACATTTAGATACCAAGAATCTATGTTCATTAATGATATCTCAGGTGCATCTATGTAAATTGTTACCTTAAATGACAGGTCTCTTCATGCAGTTTTACGAGCTCAGAGAGGGTTCTTTCTCTACATTTGGTTTATAATCCCCAAAGATTCTCAAGGTGCAAATTCTATTCATTTCTTTACTTTCAATTTCAGTTTAAGGAGCAAATAAATTATTATTTCCTTGACATAAAATGTTTGCTTAATTTTGATAGGTTTAAAACCTTTTACTTTTATTCAGTTGATAAATTATTTAACTCTAAAAGTGATTCCTACACAGTAAGATTTGGCTTCACGTATAATGATAGTATATCTAATCACTACTGTTTTCCACAGAAAAAAAATTGTGTAAATTCTGGATTAAAAAATAGTTTTACTTAGAATAATTTTATACATTTTTTTTTTACATTTATCTCAGCCTCTTGCATAAAAGTATCACGAATTTAAAAGACAGGTATTGCTTGGAAAAAAACAGAGAGAGACTTCTTTCTCAATGCTAAGACTTTTTTCATTATTTGTTTTGTGTGTGTGTCCTTCCTTCCTTCCTTCCTTCCTTCCTTCCTTCCTTCCTTCCTTCCTTCCTTCCTTCCTTCCTTCCTTCCTTCCTTCCTTCCTTCCTTCCTTCCTTCCTTCCTTCCTTCGAGTCTCACTCTGTTACCCATGCTGGAGTGCAATGGTGTGATCTTGGCTCACTGCAGACTCTGCCTTCTGGGTTCCAATGATTCTCCTGCATCAGCCTCCCAGGTAACTGGGACTACAGGCACGTGCCACCATGCTAGACTAACTTTTGTATTTTTAGTAGAGAAGGGGTTTCACCATGTTGGCCAGGCTAGTCTCAAATTCCTGACCTCAAGTGATTCGCCTGCCTCTGCCTCCCAAAGTGTTAGTATTACAGGCATAAGCCACTGTGTCAGGCCTGTTTTGTGGTTTTAAATATGGAGATTTCTTGTTACACATCTTATAGCTAAAGAAAAATGCCATTTGATATAATATCATTATATATTTCTGTGTTATCTTTCTATTTAGTGAGACAACGTATCCTAGGGAAGACAATTTAGGCCTGGATTAGTAAAGTCTGAGTGTGGTTCTTGGCTTGCCCTCTTATTGGCCATGTGGACTGTGGATCATTTACTTCCTAATCATAATTACTACAGCTCTGAGAATTAGGGCTAAGTAGATTGGTTGGTACACAAGTAATTGTGCTTTTTGCCATTACTTTTAATACCAATAAACACATTTATTTGTGCACCAACCTATAGTTTATTTGGTCTATTCACTCAAAATAATATTTTTATTAGTGCATTTGCAAGTAGATTAATATTAAGTAAAATGTTTAATATACACATTTATTTATTTATGTGAACTTTGGAGTATGTTAAAAATAGATGATAAGAATCAGATTAGATGAGTTAGCATATGTCTGTCCTGGTCTCACAGTGCCTCCTTCACAGTATACCATTACCTGCCATTTTAATGCATATTTTTCCTTAAAAATTTAAGTGCAGCAATGCATTTCATCTGCCAGTTAGTTATTTTATATGGAATAATATTTTTCATCCAATGAGAGCATACCTTAAAGTCTTAAAAATCTTGACGTTAATAAAAGTGTAGATTTTTAAATCTACTACTTCTTCGATAATATCTTACCAATAAAATATCAGTTGGATTTTATGCTACAAAGTTTTTCCTTTCTGATGTATAAAGCTTGTAAATATGATTGAAATTTTCTTCAGGATTAATATAATTGAGATTGTAGCCGTACCTCATTTTTGTTTGTCTGTAAAACTCTAACATGTTTATTTTACACAGCATTTTCAAGAAAAATATCAGCTATTAAAACAAATTAAACAATATAGATAAATAATACATATATTTTTATTTAGTTAAGTATCAATTTGTACTTAAATAACTCCAGTGAGTATAAACAAAATATAAGTCTTTAATTTTTCTGTTTGCAGTCTCACTGATTCTTATGTGACTATTCACATATATTATTCAAATATGCTGATGAGGCTGCAGGAAAAAGGGAATGCTTATACACTGTTGGTGAGGATGTAAATTAGTTCAGACACTGTGGAAAGCAGTTTGGAGATTTTACAAGGAACTTAAAACTGAGCTACCATTCAAATAATCCCATTACTGGGTATATACCCAAAGGAAAATGCATCATTATACCAAAAAGATGCATGCACTCATATGTCCATCCCCCTGCTTTTTGCAATTGCAAAAATGTGGAATCAACCTAGGTGCCCATCAAAGGTAGATTGGTAAAAGAAAATATACATATATACCATGGAATACTATGAAGCAATAAAAAGAATGAAAACAGCCCTTTTGCAGCAACATGGCTGGAGGTGGAGGCCATAAACCTAAATGAATTGATACAGGAACAGAAAAGCAAGCACCACGTGTTCTCACTTATAAGTGGGAGCTAAGCATTGAGCACACATGAACATAAACATGGGTACAAGAGATACTGTGGACTACTTGAGGGGGGCAGGAAACTACCCATTAGGTACTATGTTCACTGTCTAGGTGCAATATACCTATTAAAAATAAAAAATAGAAATAAAAACTGCACCTATTAAAAATAGGTGCAATATACCTATTAACAATATTTTTTTATAGGAAATATACACCCAGCTTTTGAATCAATGCTTGCCATATTTTTAAAACTTTATTCACTGCTGATGTCTGATAGTTGGATAAAAACTTCACTAGATGTAACTTCAGATTAAGAATTAAGAAGGAATTACATTTATCTAAAAGCATGGATTTCTGTAAAGTCCTATGAATATTGAATTTTTTGAATGAATGAGTGAAATACATGGATTATACACATTCTGCTTTTCTACATTTTATTTTATGGCATGTTGTTTTATTTTGGCATACTCTATGTGTTCTTTCTGCATGATATTTTCTTCCACATCCTCCCCCATCACATTTTGTTTTAGAAGATTACTAAAATAAGAATTTCTGCTTTTGCATAAAACTGTATTTTAAGATGACTTCACAAGATAACATAAAATTCAAACTAGAATAGTTACATTTAGCAGTCTAAGTGGACAAAATAGAAAGTTGTGATGCATTCATGTCTATATTCATAAATTAAATATGTATTTACCACAAAATTTCTAATTACCTGGTGCTGAAGGAGTAACAGTGAATAAAAATAGAGGAGTGATCACTGGCCTTGTTGAGTTTACAGTCTACTGGGGGCAAAAACTATTTATAATAAATGATAATGTAAGGAAATACAAGTAGAAATTTGCCATTCTAATCTGTGCTGTGAAGCAGAGCACATGGTACAGGGAAGACACAGAAGACTTCTGGAAAGAAATAGTTGAGACATGAAAAGTAGGAAGTAATTAGGCAAACAGGTTGGAGAAGAGCATTTGAGACTGGAAAGAGCAGGCACAAAAGGTATTTTGGTAGGATGTTGAGTGCATCCTATGATTTCTATGACTGGTTAACTCTTTTCTGACAATAAAATTATTTTATTGGAAACAAACACACTGTATATTAATTTCTGAAATGTATTATTTTTGTTCTAGTGTGAATGTTACTGCTGTTATTATTAGTAATGTCTTTTTATATAGCTCTGCATACTACAGATAAATGTACATAAATACTACAAATTTACAATTTAATTTCAGCCTCTTATTTTGGACTGAATGGGGACAAATGCCCTGTATTGGAAAGGCTCGTTTGGATGGCTCAGAGAAGGTTGTCCTTGTAAGCATGGGAATAGCATGGCCAAATGGCATCTCCATTGACTATGAGGTCTGTTGGATTTCTTTTCAGTATTTAAAGTGCATTAGCTGACAACTTTCATTAACCCACTTTCAGTGTTCCTTTATTTTCTTAATAAAACAATCAAAAATAGTCTGTAACATTACTTCTCAATCGATATTTAGGAAAATAAATTGTACTGGTGTGATGCTCGCACAGACAAGATAGAGAGAATCGACCTTGAGACTGGAGGGCATCGCGAGGTGGTGCTGTCAGGAAGCAATGTGGATATGTTTTCAGTTGCAGTCTTTGGGGCTTACATCTACTGGTCTGACAGGTAATTTATTTTTTTATAAGTATTTGAGTCTCAAAATGTTATTTCAGTGCCAGTTGCTTTACCCTTGTAGGATTTGCCATTTCTTAGCAAGGTCACACAAAGGATCTCACAAAGCCATGTAATTTCCACAGAAAAGGCAGGCACTATTGCTATTCCAAGCTCAAACATTTCAATGTCACAGACTAAAGTTGGTTTCTTTTCCTTCTGTTGGCCCATCTGTTATCTTCAGCTTAAGTAACTGGCTTGACTTTAATTAGTCGAAGATTGTTGATCATGTATGTTCAACTTTTTGGCAGAGCACATGCAAACGGGTCCGTCAGAAGGGGCCACAAGAATGATGCCACAGAAACGATAACCATGAGAACTGGTCTTGGAGTCAACCTGAAGGAGGTTAAAATATTTAACCGAGTAAGAGAGAAAGGTCAGCACTCTTGAAAGAATACATAATACATATATTTTATGTGATTTCTCTCCAATTTTTAAAAAACATTTGTCAAACTTTGAAATTCTTATATGAGTCTAAAACCTCAAAACCTTATCTTTACATCTAATTTCCTACAAATATCATATAGTAGCCTAATACAGTAAATATGTCATATTTCATACAAAAGCATATTTGCCCAGGACAGCACAGGTACATGGACATGTTACATACCTGGCATGTCTTGATTATAGGTTTTGGCTAAAGAATATAGAAAAACTTGATACATGTATTGATTGGATAAAAAGTAAAAGCATAAGTAGGATATTAGAGAGTAAAAGGCAGTTGAAATTTTTATACATAATATGAATCATATTATATATAAGTGGTTATGATCCCCAAAGGTCATGCTGTTAGTGTAAAATATTTCCAAAGTCATTACTTCCTTAAAATAATGTATTTTAAACTTATAGGACAATGATTTGGGTATTTAAAATGTGTTTACCTCCATTAAAATAAATTGTAACTAACTTGTTTATATCAAAGGAAGTTATAATAATGTTGGAGATAATAATGAATTCACAGAGAAGAATCAGACTGGTGAATAAATTTTAAGTGCATATTATATCTTCCCTTAAAATTGGAGTAAGAACTTATGCTCAACATATTTAGGAGGTTGGGCGCATTGTAACCATAGATTTATTTGATACTTTCCATGTCTCATAGATAGAGTTTAAAGCAGTGCATTATTTCTGGTGAGATCAATTCATGTTTTGAATGAACAATGTATGAAACACTATAATCTAAGGGTCAAGTTTCAAAAAAGACTTATATACTTAACTGGCTCATTAAGGGAAAAATTTGATACTTAACTTGGATGGTGAATGAAACAGAATATGATTTTCTAAATAAGAAGCCCAAGATTTAAACTGCTGTGATTTTTTTTAAAAAACAGTACTTTTTAAATTTTTTATTAATCAACTTACAATTAAGAATAAAAAGAATACTCAACATCAAAGTTTTAATATTTCTTTATGGAGAATTTTGTTTGAAAAACAAAAGAAAAACATAAACACGTGCATGTGTGTATCATTTTTCTTCCTTAGGGACCAATGTTTGTGCCAGGGACAATGGTGGCTGTAAGCAACTCTGTCTTTATCGAGGAAATTCCCAGAGAACTTGTGCTTGTGCCCATGGATATTTGGCAGAAGATGGAGTTACTTGCCTGAGGCATGAAGGCTATTTGCTATATTCAGGAAGAACAATATTAAAAAGTATACATCTTTCTGATGAAACCAATTTAAATTCCCCGATAAGGCCATATGAGAATCCACATTATTTCAAGAATGTCATAGCCTTGGCTTTTGACTATAATCAAAGAAGAAAAGGTACCAACCGAATCTTTTATAGTGACGCACACTTTGGAAATATACAGCTTATTAAAGACAACTGGGAAGACAGACAAATAATTGTTGAAAGTAAGTACAATAATTTAATTTTAAATAGTTATATGGAAACGGTATCATTTAGGTTACTAGAGACATAATAGTGGTAATTGCATGTAGCAATTACGTTTTCCTAGAGTTTATATTGAGAAATTAATGTGGCTATTATCATTCAACCCCCCCAACCCTACCGCCAAATGTCAAAGAAGCAATTAACTGCTAGCATGTACGGCAAATTATGATTATTAGCTTCTAATCATGGAAGGTTTAATATATTTTATCATACTGTTTCTTATAAATAACTGCACTAAAATTCATGAAAAATAGTTTTTCAGTATAAAACTGTTTTAATTGATTTTTTTTTTTTCCAGTGGGCAAATTGTATCTTTAAGAATATCTCTTCAGTAATATTTAGTTAATCATGGTTTCTCAAGCAAACATCTGAGATTATTTTGTGTGTATGTATATAGCAGACTTGATGAGGAAATGTTATAGAAATGATCTAATATTTTTAATGTTTTTATGGGACAAAATTATTCAAGCATAATGTTCAGTGTGGATTATCCACATAATTTAGGGAAACCTTTTTCTTGTCATTCAAGTTTAATGAAAACCATCTTCTTATTCCTCACACAACTTTTTTCTTGATGTCTTTGTGTGATTTCCATATATTTCCCACTCTTCCAATTTCACTATATGGAAATCATTTTTTTCTTTGCTTTCTAAATTGCAAAGTAATATATAAATTTGTTGTGGAGTGTTCAAATAATATGGATTTAAATATGAAATCCCTGCCTCATCTCTGAAACCAATAATCCTGTTTACTTACCCATAACTGACATGTGACATGCCCCAGAATATTGTTATGTGTGTGAAATTTTTAGTTATAAAAGTGGAATAATACTAAATATATTACTCAGCTAACTGTTTTTTTGCTTACTATATATTGCAAAGTTTTTATTTTATTGCATGAGTCTTCATCTTATGCTTTTAAAAGCCTGTACCTAGTTCTATACTAAAGGTAAGCTAGTTTATTTAATCATGTTTTAAATAACAATTTAGATTTGAATAACTAAACTACAGCTGTCCAAGCCTGAATGTGTGGTGTACATTTTCTAAAGAATAAATACAGTGAGTGTGTCACTTCAAGGTAAATGACCTACTGTATGTGTTGCAAATGGTAAAAACCAAACTCTGAAGTAAAACATTAGAAGTCTTGTAACCACCACAGTAACCTTGACAGCTTCCCAATACTTAACAGGCTTTTCTGTTGAGATGGTGGTAATATTAATGCATGTGATTTTGGGGTATTGCATAATGAAATGTGTCAACATTTAGAAGATATGCATAAGTTAGAGAACCAATATTTTCAAATGACATGATAAAATCATGCATGAATAAATGATTTATTCAAAGTGCAAGATAGACCAATGAATTTTAATGTAATAGAGGATGAAAAGTTCATCACCATGTTTTCAGATTCCACACTGCAACTAACCTTTAGGTAACTACCACTTGTCACGTGTAGGTGTAGTATGAAAGAATACCCAGTTATCTGTAAAGGTTATTATTAAAACACTCTTCTCTTTTCCAATTACACAACTGTGTGAGGCTGGATTCTCTTCATATACTTCAACCAAAACAACACAATGAGAGGATAAAGAGGCAGATAGAAGAATACAGCTGTATTTTAGTAAGACAAATGTATTTGTAACATTGTAAAACAATGATCTTTTGTTATTTATTTTTTTAAAGAAATAGTTACTTTTCTTAGAAGGTACTATTTAGATGAACACAATTAATGCATTATTCTAACTTTAAAAAAATTGGTAAATATTTAAAACAATTTATTTTAAGTTTAAATTTCTAATACAGTAAATAGATACAGACTTGACCTACATACACAGACTCTGGAGCCTTCAATCATGATTAAGAGTGTAAAGATCCTTAGACCAAAAAGACTGAAAATTACTCTTCTGGACTAAGTATTCAGAAAATATTTAGTACAAAGACATGAAAAGCATGATGTAGACAAGGAGTCATTTGGTGCAATTGAAATGCAGGTAATATGGCATTAATTGGTGTGAGATGAAGTAGGGAATGACATGTTGAATGTCTTGGTCTGCCAAAATAAGCAGCTTTAAAAAGAAACGGTTTTATTTAGGTATAGTTAACACATCATACAATGCACCACCAAGTGCACACTCAATCTTTTTTGGTATATTACATTATAATTTTTAAAATTGGGATAAATATACATTTATATCCACATATATAAAACAACATTTGAGATTTTACCTGTTTTTAAGTGTACAATTCAGTGGCTTTTATTACATTCCCAGTATTTTGCAGCCAACAACACTATATTTCTGAAACCCTTTCATCACTTCAAGTAGAAACTTTGTGTAAGGCAATATCTCCCCATTTTCCCCTTCCCCTGGGCCTTGGTAATGGATATTTTCTGTCTCTATGAATTCACTAATTGTAGAAATTTCATGTAAGTGGAATCATCATATATTTGTCCTTTGTGCCTGGCTTATTTCACTTAGCGTAGTGTTTTCAAGGTGCATCCATGCTATAGCATGTATTAGAACTTCATTCTTTTTATGACTGAATAATGTTTTGCTGTATGTACATACCACATATTTTTTATCCAATCATTTGTTTAAGGACACTTGGATTGTTTCTACACTTTGGCTGTTATGAATAATGCTCTAGTGAACGTTGATGTACAAATATCCAAGATAAGATGATGGAAAAAAAGAGAGTGTTGTAATGCATATATATATATATATATATATTTTCGTGTAATAGAGTATTAAAAGTAGTATTTATGTTTCACGAGATCACTCTGTGTTATGTTCAGGTTTGATGAAGTGTAAGGCTTGTGAGGGCCATGTCTGAAGGCAAAGATGCCCTAGGAAGTTTTGTCATATTTTAGATACTGTTTCAGTAAATTAAACTGAAAACATTTTAATTAAAATATATACACAACCAAATCATTCTAATCCTCTCATCCAAAATCAAAACCAGTAGAATCCATGACACTTTACTGACTGTAGGGAAGTGTTGAAACATATGGAAGGAAGTGAAACAGGACGGCCAGGAGTTTGAAACATTGGTCGAGCCTGAGGTTCAAATCACAGTTTGCTGTTTGTTTCCTCTGTGCTTCTAAGTGTTTATTTCCTTACCTACAAAATGGAAAATCACCCCATATATTTTCTAAGAAAATTTTATGAGAAAGGGTATTTAAAAAATATATAAATAAGCACGATTTTAATACAAAATTATATTACTGTATTTGTGACACATTTGTGGATCATTTAGGACAGCGATCTTCAACCTTTTGAACAACAAGGACTGGTTTGATGGAAGATATTTTTTCATGGATGAAGGCAGGGGATGGTTTTGGGATGAAACTGTTCCACCCCAGATCATCAGGCATTAGATTCTCAAAAGGAGCACACAATCTAGATCCCTCATAGTAGGATTTGCACTCCTATGAAACCCTAATGCCATTGCTGCTCTGACAGGAGGTGGAGTTCAGGTGATAATGCTGAGTCACCTGCTCTTCATCTCCTGCTATGCCTCCTGGTTCCTCACAGGCCACGGACTAGTACTGGTCTGTGGTCCAGGGATTGGCAACCCCTGACTGAGGATAATGATCTTTGTCTTAAATTATTTTTAGCATATGAATTAGGATAGTTAGACAGTCAGAAATAATTATAATAATTATAGATATAAAATAATGCATTAAGGTCTGACTAAAACTTAAAATTAGTCGGCATTAATAGTTTGTATGAATCTTTCTGAATATCCTCCCTACCCCACCCCGCCTCCTACTAAGAAGTTGCCATTTGCTTAACCATTGCAATCCTCTCTGAAAGCTTTTTAGGCAAATGTATAGTTTAACTTGCCAGACCAAAAAAGAAAACAGACAAAACAAATCAAAACTAAAACCCTCAAAACACCCAGTTATTGGCATATATAAATAAATATAAGTAAGGTGTAAAATGTGTTTCCATCTAGGTATTCCATTTTATTGAATTTGAAGAACTATATATCGCTTTGTTACATCTCTAACTTCTTACCCAAAACTATATTCGTGTTTTTAAGTATTCATGTTTTAAATATTTAACTAGATTCATATTTTTAAGTATTAAAAATATCAGAGAGTTCTTAATTTCACAATCAGATTTAGACTTTAATCCTTCATATAGCTGAATATAAGAAATGGATGGGATAAAGGCTTTCTTCTTTAACTTCCTAATTCACATAGAACGAACATTTTGACCTCAGGTTTAAAATATGACAAGAGCCGTTAAATACAATTCAATATTTCATTAAATATATTAAATACAATTTATTAAATACATTAAATACAATTCAATATTAAGTGCTTACAGTGTGCCATAGATTATTAGGTGTGAGTGAATAAGGATGAAAATGTCTTCCTTCTAGCCTTTGGAAGTTCACAGTATAAAAAGAGGAAAATGCAATAGTTCACTTTTCCTATGAAGAATCAAGATCTCTGGCCAAGACACTGTTAAAAGTCTACACTTTCAGGCCATTTCTGACTTTAAAACCACAGTAATGATTTGTAAAATATATTTAAGATGAAAATTATATAGAGATAGCTAATCCCAAAAAGCAAGATGGACTTTTCTTTAAGTGATAAACAGACCAGAAATACAAAGCAGAGACAATGACTGAAACAGAATTCTGAGATTCCAGGCTACATAGATGCTACAGAGAGACAGGACCTAAAAAAAAATTACTTAAACTAAGGAGCGGGGAATGCTGCCCCACAGGGAAGCAAGGCTGAAATAAAGCTGTGTCATCTACTGTTAGGCCAGTGACTTGTTGGAAGTGACTAACCCTGGAGGCTTAGAGGCCACAGAAACAGCCTTATGTCCAGCTCTGATGCAAGTCCATTGCAAGTTATGGACTCTGCAAGCTCTCATATGCTCTGTGGAGCAAAAACTCAAATGAGTTATGAAAGAGAAGGCTGCACTTTAAGGCGCAGAGGTTGA